ACACAGTGAATAGGTATCTGTTGATGAGGTTTATTATACAGCAATTCTCCGAGTAAGGTGCTTACAAATATACCATTATCCACAGCATCAGCTAGAGATAAAGTCTCTGCAGCTAATGTACTTCTAACTATTCTCCTTATTTTTCTTGACTGCCAAGATAACGGATTAAATATTTGATTCTCACCACACAGTAAGACAATATGACCACCCTGACTACTACCGTCCGATAAATTCCCGAATGAAGCATCACTGTATATAACAAGTCGAAGACTTCCTTCAAGATGTTGAAACTTTAGATCAACTTTTTGTGACTGTACTTTTCTAATAATCTTATTACAATCATAGATGTCTTGAATAGTGCCATTTTTGACACATGTAGCTATCTTTCCAACATCAAAGCTGATATCAGGCCTACTTTGGTTTGCTAACCAGAGAAGTTGACCAACCTTACCACGTAAAGCCGTCTTCTGAGACTCCATTAAAGGTGTATCTCGGGTTGAACATTTATCAGTCTCAATCTGGGTGATATGGAGAGCATAATCATGTTGAGATAAAGTGATGATTTCATTCTCTTGAGACAAGTGAAGGCCGACATATTTAAACGATGAAGATTCTTTTTTACCAATATGAAATTCCTTTCTGACATGATTGATTACACAGGTTTCAAAAAGTGATGTGCCAGCCCATAAGAAATCATCTACGTGTACAGCTAATAAACCAATAAGTGTTTCGTTCTTATAATAGTAAAACACAGCAGGGTCTACTTGTGACATCTTTCCACCACACTCCAACAATGTTGACTTAACTCGCTCATACCATTTTAAGGAAGCATCGGATAAGCCGTATACACATTTATTAAGAAGCCATACTTTTCCAGAACTTTTAGCTTCTTTTGGAGGTTTTAGGTATATTTTTCTTGACACTGTATTCCCTTGTAGGAAGGCAGTCTTAATGTCTATGCTCTTTACAGCCCACCTTTTCTGTGCGATTACAGACAAAATTACTTTAAGTGATTCGCGTGAGCAAGTAGGGGAGTCTTTCTGAAGATCGTTCAAGTTATCCTCTTCAAAACCACGTGCTACTAATCGTGCTTTTTGAACAAACTGACCATCTATGTTCTACAGAGTGCACACCCAACGTGTCGAAATACATTTTTGTCCTGTATCTTCAACTTCATTGTACACATTTTCTTTCTTCCAACATTCTAATTCTTTGTGTTTAGCAACATCAAAATTTACTTCACTTATCATAACACATTCAGTCTCTTCTTCAGGTACGATCTTTAAATCTTTTACAGTTCCTAAATCTATTGATACATTTTCATCTTTTATTTCAACTGGTTTGGTGAATTTAATATTAAACCAATTTCTTTTACTACCGGATGCCTTGCAAGCCCTCCCTAATATCACAGCCTCTTTTATATCATCATCTTCATAGGATGAAAAACGAATAGTTTGTCCTTGTTTGACATTTACTTTAGCAGTGACGCCTGTCTGTTTCTGATTCTCTCTATCACAAGGCCCATCATGTCTCCCATTTTCATCATAATTTGATCTGCTTTCTTTTGGTCTAACTTCATTAGTTTTGTCATGATTCACTCTGTTTTTGCCATTTCTGTCTTCTTCATTATTAACTCTGTTTTCGTCATTTCTGTCTTCTTCATTATTAACTCTGTTTTCATCATTTCTGTCTTCTTCATGATTAACTCTGTTTTCATCATTTCTGTCTTCTTCATTATTAACTCTGTTTTCGTCATTTCTGTCTCCTTCATTATTAACTCTGTTTTCATCATTTCTGTCTTCTTCAGTCTCATCAAGATGAGCACTATCTGCATTCTTACTCTTGCCTTCACTGAATTTTTTCATAGCTAGCCATTCTGTAACATGTTTTCGAGCTTCACTTTTTCTATCTTCAACAGGTCGTCTATCACCAGCTGCATTAGTTGAAGGTTCAATGTCTGTGGTCCTGTCATCCTTGCGCAATCGACAGGAATGAACTCGTACGTATAATCCACCGTGACGGACAAACACTACAACTCCATCTTGACCAATGACCCATCCTGGGCCCTTCCACTCATTATCACGCATGTAATAAACTTTATCACCAGTTAAAAATTCTCCCCCCGTGGGTCTGGTTTGTTTCTGTAAGGCGCGTTTAATTTTCTCAGATGATTCTGTCTTTATAAAAGCTTGCCGTGCTTTATGAAGAGCAGTTAAATGTTCATGCATCACCTTTGACATAGGTTGTTGTTGTGTTAAAGCTGGCGGCTGGTCAGTCAAGACTGATGGCAACTTGGGGTGTTGACCAAACACAATTTGATAAGAGCTGTATCCGTGAACATTGTTTAAACAGTTTTTTGCCGATACAGCCCAACATAAGGCAGTCTCCCATGACAAAGATGTGTCTTCTTTAATTTTTAATAATGTTTCCGTCAACACAGCATTATGGCGTTCTAACACTCCGTTTGACCACGGGCTATAGGCTGCTGTAGTTTTCACGGTAATATTAAGTCTCTCTGCCATTTCTCGAAATTCTGCATTATTAAATTCCCCACCGTTATCACTGAATACACCTTTGGATGGGGCTCCATAAATACTGACCCAATGATGCATGAATTTGTCAATGATTACTTTGGGATCTTTTCGTTTTATAATGGCTGCAGCACTTAATCTACTAAAGACATCTATTATATGAAGATACCAAAGGTTATTGTCAAGTTGGTGAAGATCTAGTGATACAACTTCATTAAAATTAGACGCTAATGAAAAGGCAACAATAGATTTATGAGGTGGGCGTTTGTGGTTCTGACAGATTGGACATTCCTTACAAACTTTAGATAAAGTGTGCTTCATATTACTTGATACAAAACCAGCACTTTTTAATAAACATAACAGTTTGTCATATGAGGCATGGCCAAATTGTTTGTGCAATTTACTAATAACCCTTTCCTGTTCTATATATGACAAACTTTCAGTTACAATCAAAACAACATCTTCACTAATATCAACATTGTTTACAGCATTACAATTCAACACTTGATTATAAGAATTAGTACTACATTGTTGCAACTGTTGTCTAGGTACAGTAATATCTATGCAATAATGCCCACTTGAAGTTAAATTGACATTAACTGGTTTACCTAACATAAAAACCTGGTCATTATTAAGGTCAATAACAGTATTTGCTTTTTTTAAAGATGCTTTACTGAGTAACAAAGGAAGGTTTTTATCAACAACTTCAATATCAATGGATATACGAGTATTATTAATTTGAGCTGGAATTTTAACTAACTGGTATGAATATACAGACACCCCATCTCCAAATTTAAAAGCAGTATGACTTGGCTTATAAACAATATCATTTTTAAGAGTGTCATCTAAATTTGCCAAGTAATTGTCTAACCAAGGCCTGCCACAAACAGTTTTTGTACAGGCAGTATCAATGACTGCAGCATTGAATGCCTCCATTGTCAATATTTCACTTGCAGTATACTCGGAAGTTAAAAGGGTTAAATGTACGTTGGCTTCATCATTAGTACACATGTTAACACTACCAGAATGTCTACTTGGACAATTCTTATACCAATGATATCTTGAGTCACAGAGTCTACATCTACTTATTACACCATTGAACATTGGATTTAACTTCTGGTCGCGAAAATTATTAGCTTGTCCTAAACGATCACCACGCTGATCTACATTTAGACGATTAAATGTGTTGCGTCCACTGCGTCTGTTGGTTACAGTCCTAGTATCAAATGCTTGTTCCTGGCTAACGTTCGTATCAACATCACCGATTTTTGATTCACTACATCCAGTTTTACTAAATATTCGACTTAAAGCTGATTTCATGTTGTCATATTTAATATCATTACAGGCTGTCAGTGCTAACTGGCGTTCTTTAACTGACAGATTTGCATTATCTAACAGTTTGAAAGCTAACACAGCCTCTGGAAGAGTCATATCATATTTCTTAATACAATTATATTTTTGCTCAAATTCAACAATGTAATCAGACATCAACATGTCTTTCCTATTAAATTTATCAAAGTCACAATATGCACTGTAGGCCATATCAATTTTGTCCTTTTCAAATAATTTATCTAGTTCAGTCACAAGAACACCAACACCATTATCTACATTTAAATCAGCAGCAGCAATATTTAAGGCTATCTCTCTGGGTTTACCATCCAAGGAAAGTGCCACAATAAGCCCCCTTTTTTTCTTATCTACATCACATACAATCTGCCACATATCAACTTCATTTTTCCATTGGCTGTATGTCTTCCCAGCCATAGTAGGAGGATTCTTATAACTACTGGCCATCTTCAAAATGTCCAGCTCTGCTACCAATGTTTCAAGATATTTATTCAGTTTACATAGACAAACCAAAGCACATGTTCATGGATCAGACATACAAGATGGCAGACCTCACCTCCAGGTGACCTCCTACTGAGCAGGCTTACCAAAGACTTCCAGTCAAGGGAAGTAACCTACATGTACATATGAGCAAGGGTTCAGACCACAAATATCATACTTAACACTTGATTCCAACCAGAGGCTTGAAATAGTCAGCCAAGAATTTGTTCCAGTCGTAGGAGTTCACAAGCACTGTGCCATCCTCCCTTCCAATAGGTTGAGCTCTGTTCACTCTTTTGACAGGACTTGACTCATACACAACTTCTGCGATCTCATCCAGGGTGTTGACTTTGGTACGCCGATACCTCTGCTTTATTAAGCCAAAACACCAGTCTGGTGCAAACTTTGTGTGTCCTGGGATGAGAAAATTTAGACTTATTGTGGCATGAAGCCCATGAATTGTCCTCCACAATAAATAATATAACATAAATCTATTTTTGTTCTGGCCACTGCAGTTGTCGCAGTGCAGCTGCAGATCTGTCTCACCAAGACCATAGTTAAGGAGAAAATGATCTAGATAATTTATTACAGAAACTGAACCCTTCGACACATTCATCCCCTCATCAATGAGGTAGTTAACCTGTTGTGGTATTCCTTCACAGCACATGCCAAATAATCCACACTTCCATGGGGTCAGGAAGTAAATTGGTCCTGGCTTTAGTGGGTCGACGGGAAAGTGGACCTGAAAAAAGGGATACAATTTTAAGAATAACTTCATTACCTCATTGATCACATGATGATTGGCCTGAAAGAAAACCTGCAACTATGAGAAACTGATTTATGGACTGGCCTGAAAGTAGTGAAAGAAGAAGGTGCCAATATTATACGCTATATCTGCCGATAACAGACTCAGATTAATGTTATAACTTAATTCTAAGCTTGGCCAATGCATAATTGCACAGTTGAACTCAAAGCAACTTTCATTATGTAGGTGTGGGGGATGGGTTCTAACTAATTTAACTTACCTGTTGAGCAAAATCAAAGCTGTAGTGCATGTTAATTGGCCTTGACATTGGTAATGTTGGCTGAAGTTTAGTCAGATTAAGTACTTCACAGGCCTCTCTGGAACGGGCAACCATTTCATTCAGATAGGACCTCTCTTTGGTAACCACCAGTAAGTGTTCCTCTTGTTTTTTTAATTTTGCTGACTTGACTATTTCTGGTAAATTTGAGCTTCTATAAACAGCACTGCCAACACAGATCAGACATTGGTTTTGTACGAGTGATGTGGGGGGTTAGCGACTTCCAAAGGCTGTGGAAACTGCTAATCTTCGCAGCCCGATGGCCTGAAGTATAAAACAAAATAAATTTAGAGACAAGACAAATAAATAAAGCAATAGCGATTTATGTCCATGATTTTGATCGTTCGAACTTGGATTTATTTTATGTTATTATTATTAAACTATGGTTTATGTTTACAATGTCAATTACTTTTCTATTTTACAGGTAGGCTAAATCAAATAAGGCAAAGAAACATACATGTAGTTCCCATAAAATTTAGAACCTTTTAAAGGAAGATAGCCAATACAAAATGCTGAAAAGAAAATTAATCTGAACTTTTACATTATGTAGAATATCGTACCAAGTTTAGTTACTTCCTCTTTATAGAAACCATGAACTGATGATTTGGTTACATATGAAGGTAGAAGTTTGATATCTAGTTTCTTCTGACCAGGATGCCGACCAGGTAGAATAATGGCATGCTCTTCTGCATAGTTGCAGATAAAAGAAACAACTCTACGTATGTCATCATGGCTTAGAATATTACGGTTTTTAGTTCTACGGCCCCCACGTTTCTTTAGACGAGGTGATATCCCATTCTCTTTGTACTGGATGAAGCAGCTATCTAACACAGACTGACTGATCCTGAAAGTAAAAAATTTAAAAAATAAAGTATCGTATTGAAAACTACATGTTGTCATTTACTGTACATGTCATGATGCAGCCTTTCCTAACAATCTTCAATTTTCATTACAAATTAATTTATGTGTACTGTGTATAAAATATAGTTAATGTCCATGAAAACATTAATTTCACTCATTACAAAATATATTACTGATTCTTATTGTTTCCTTATTTTGGCTAAGTGGGTAAGACGCTGGCTCGCTAGCCTGGAGGTCAGGTGTTCGATCCCTGCATTGGCCGAGAAAGTTCATCCAGATTTTCCGGCGTGGTTTCCCCTTGTCAGTGATGCAGGATGGAGGGCCTGACAAGGACAGCTGTCTAGTCGTTCAGATGGGACGAAAAACCAAGGTCCCGTGTACATATTGGCGTGCACTTAAAAGATCCCTTGGCAGTTGGAATTCGATATAAGAGTAGGCCGTAGCGCCGCTGCCCGGGCAAAATTTCCCTCATAGCACACTGTATGGCATATGCCCGTCTTCATTAGCCCAGTTTAGGAGCAGAACAGTAGGACGTTAAACCCCATTTCATTTCATTTTGTTTCCTTATTTTAAAATCAATACATGCTTTAATAAACCTGTTATACCTAATGAATTTGTTAATTGTTTATAATTTATTCCTCCCTTCATTACTTGTTTAGGTATTGAATCCTTTCTTAACTATGGCGTCGCTGACAAGACTTCTGAAGCTGATGCATGTGTCTGATGCAACAGACTACAATTCAATTTTCAATTAAGTATGAAAACGATGAACATCAATCACACAAGGCAATAAACCTATTTAGGCAGAAATTATTTAATTGATGACCGTAATCAGAAATTTATATCAATAAAAGTAGTTTTGAAGTTGGAGACTCTTTATCAATTTTATGTTAATTAATTGCTAGATACCATACATAATACTAATAGTTCACTTACATATTTACAAATCTAAATGTACTTCGACAAATAGTTTTTCCCTCAACAAGATAAGCAGTCTTCTGATGCGACCTTTTCTTCTGAGTTTTGTGTTTTGATCGTTCCGTGTAGTCACTGAAGTTTCCAAGACTGCTGATCTTACCAATGATTACGAGGTCTTTTTCGTCTGACGTGAGGGAAACCATATCTTGTCGACATCGATATATAAACTCAGGAGAAAGCCTCTCGCTATATGACATCAATCCCTTCTTTGAATTTTCTTTGCGCCGAGACACACATTCACATTTAAACAAACAAATTTTGTCCATTTCTTTTTCACTATCAGGGTCAATAAAGTCAACCTGCTTCATTATCATGGTTTCTATTTCTACTTCATTTTCTTTTTCTAGCTTCCCCAACCCCTCCTCTTCACTATCACTTTGCTTGCCATTCGCATCATCATTGAGCTGTTCTACGTCCATATTTTCACTTATTATAGCACTGGGTACACCGTTCAAAATCTCATCATAATCATCGTCACTGTCACTGCTCTCTGAATTGGATTCAGAATTGTCAACAAAATACTCCTCAATTAGTTGATTCCATGTCCCAGCAGGTGCAGAGCGTGTCAGATTCGCTCCTGCCAACTCATTTAAAGCTTTGGCGATGTTATCTGCCCTGCTACACATGATAGCCTACACTAGAAAATACTTTTAGAATTACGTGTTTACAAATATTCCCAGGGCACAGCCATTAAAATTTCACTTCATGTCTCGTGCTGTGCGCACCATGTGATCAAAATTAGCGAATCCGCGAGCCTGCTACAATGACAATCGGCCTCACATAGCAACAAGCAGACGTCTATTCTACATTTAAAAACGTTTTTGATTGGTCTTTAATAACACCAATCGAAATTATTTTATGATGACGTAGAAAGGGATTCTTAAAGTTTGTTATGATACCAAGTAACAGGGGATTTTCCGTAATGTGTTGGCATAAAGAAGTCAGCATTTGACAATTTTCAGGAATTTTTTCTTTGTTTTAAGGCATTTTTTTTTTAGACAGTCTTCGTAAATCGCATATTAATGAACTATGGGATTATTATTATGTTGTATAAACAGGTTTGTACAAAAGTGTATGCCTTTAACTATTGATTTTTGGTGAAAACTCAAAATCGGTCAGATGGCAGTTTCTTACCTATTTTGACCTGTACTGAAAAATGACATTATGCGACATGCGACTGAATTAGAAATGGTGGGTCACATTTAAGTTATGTTCCCTCTTTGTACTACTGTGTATCTAATACCTAAGAATAGTTATCTTCAACTTTTCATATATATATATATAGGAAACATACAGAATTTCGGACATCAATTTATGGTAAAAGGAGTTATTATCAATAATTATTAATAACAGTAAAGGGATCTAACTACAGACAAGGGCCTATATAAGTTCAATCTTTTTTTTTCAGATAGAATTTGAAGCTAAAGGTCTAACAAATATTTAACCTGAAACATAGCATCTACAGATATTTAGTTTTCTCACTAAAATAGATATGGCCAAAACTAAATAACACTGTAATAGGAGTGACAACATTGTAATGAAGAGAAAAGAAATCAAAATGACTTACTGTTCTCCATCAACCCGTATAATGAAGATGGGCTTACGTCATACATTATTGTTTGGGAGGGGGGGGGGGCATTGTATGCGTACAACTAGTATGTTTCCCCTTGTCCGTGGCTCACTAATTAGGAGGTCTGGGGTTTGATTCATGTGTTGACCCTAGACAGTTCCCGAAACTTTCCAGCGTTGTTTCCCCTTGTCAGTGTGGGGGGGGGGGGGGCTGTGATGGGCAGCGTCCAGTTTTTCGGATGGAATATAAAACTGAGGTCCCGTGCACACGTTGACGTGAACGTAAAAGAACTTTAAATTCGAAATAAAGAGAACACCGTAATGTATGGCGGGCATATGTACATCTTCATTATGACGGTTGATTTTTTTCTCTCTTTAATACAGTATTATTTGGTTTTGACCCTAACCCTAACCCTAACTTTACTGAGAAAATTACATATAAATGCTTTGTTTGAATTCAAATATTTGTTAGTAGTCTGGAGGCTCAGCGCGGGGGGGGGGGGGGGTTGTCCATTAAATGGGCACAAAACCAGACCCAACTTTTCTAGAGTAAAATTTTGCGTAGAATACGATGCAGAGTGGTAATCAGTCCGCAGTTGGGGCGTTTTCGAGATATTCGGGGTCAAAGATCAATTGGGTTCATTTGCACTGAAAGTGAATTCGCGGTCATTCTTGTATCATGAAAATAAGCTGAAAATGATCGAAAGTAATCACACTTTCAATAAAAATGTAAACTTGCTAAATTCACCTTTGTTCTCTGTGATCCCAGAGGTCAAAAGGTCACATTTTCCGTTTTAGCACTAGGAAGATTTAAAGTAATAAATGTCGGCGTAAAATATAAAAACTAAAGCGAAACCTGTTCTAATTAATAATAGGAACATTTAAAATTTATCTTTAGGTGGTCTTAGAACCAAACTTTTACTTTGGAACGTCGAAAATGATCTTGCATAACAGAACCAAAACGCTTCGGAGCCTGTTTCAAAAATACATAAAAACTGTTAAATCAAAATCTCTCCGAATTAGTTTTACAAGGAATGCTATACATAATGATACTAGTTGTCTGAAAAAAACAATTAAATAGTTCCATGGCTGGACTCCAGCCTGTGGACCGCGTCACAAAGCCTGCCAAAATTTTCCCCGCTAACATTTACCAATACGACAATATATCCTGTGAACTACAGTCTATGTACAATGCATTCGTCGGTTTTAGCTGCGTCCATGTTCTGGCGAAATTCATAAAAACTCATAAAAAGTTTGCAAACTTTTAATCTTGTCGCAAGATGCGTGTTTTCCCGTCACAGATTTACGTCGGTTTTCCTAGACTGGGATTCTCGGAAATCCACGCAGGCTGGAGTCTAACACTGAACTATTCAATTGTTTTTCAGATAACTAGTATCATTATGTACAACAATCGTTGTGAAAATAAATCGGAGAGATTTCGATTTGACAGTTTTTACGTATTTTTGAAACAGGTTTCAAAATGTGTTGGTTCTGTTATGCAAGATCATTTTCGACGTTCCAAAGTAAAAGTTCGGCGCTAAGACCACCTAAAGATAAATTTGAAATGTTCCTATTATTAATTAGAACAGGTTTCGCTTTAATTTTTATATTTTACGTTGCCATTTTATTGCTTTAAAATCTTCCTAGTGCAAAAACGGTAAATTTCACCTTTTGACCTCCGGGGTCACTAAGACTAAAGGTGAATTTAGCAAGTTTACATTTTTATTGAAAGTGTGATTACTTTCGATCATTTTCACCTTCTTTTCATAATACAAGAATGACTGCGCATTCACTTTCAGTGCAAATGAACTCATTTGACCTTTTGACCCCGAATATCTCGAAAATGCCCCAACGACGGACTGATTACCACTCGGCATCGTTTCTACGCAAAATTTTATTCTAGAAAAGTTGGGTCTGGTTTTGTGCCCATTTGATGGACACCCCCCCCCGCGCTGAGCCTCCGGTCTATAGGAATTTAGCCCCAAATCTAATCTGAACTAAAAGTTTACATATATATTTGTAGAAATACTGTTTTGGGAGAGCTTATATGCCCGCCCACCCCCCCCCATTTTTCGGTATTTCAGTTTTTCGGGAAGAAGCTTCAGAAAATGGAGAACATGATCATATCTCATGGACACAGCTTTGAGGTAATTCATTTTAGTGAATGATTGATTCATTCAGAAAATTTGGGTGATAAATTTTTCAGGCAAATAGGTTCAACCCCCACCCCCAACTGAGATTAGCCCATGGTTGGCACGTGCGTGCTGTATCATACGGCCTGTCACTGAGTCAACTGGCGTGGTTTTCGAATCCCCGGTTGTACGTGACAAGGAGTAGGGTCGCCTGTCCAACCTCGTGGGTTTTCTCCGGGTCCACCGGTTTCCTCCCACTGCTAAAAGACCCCTACGCGCAAGCGAATTATTGAAATAAAATTAAACCATATGTTAGTCCCGAAATGACCTAGTTTGTGTCTAGTGGAGGTTAAACCCCCTTTCTCTCTCTCTCTCTCCCATCCGAACGACTGGGCATTGTCCTTCCAGCCCACTCCCATCCCGTACCACTGACAGGGGGATACCGCACCGGGGTTATCTTGTACATGTACATATCTAATCGTGTAAGTGTAGTAAATGTGAAAATGAAACAAAAGACTGTTAAAGAAACCGAACTTTCTTACATGTTTATACATATAGTGACCTGTGACAGTGATGATGATAACGACTAACTTTGATGACATTTAAAGTGCAGGGTAACTGCGTAATTTTGATTTTCAGTAATTGATTTACTTCAATAAATAATTTGTCTTAAATCTATATTTGTTAGCAAATTATACAATTATAGATACGGTTTCAGTTTAAATGTTTGTAATTCGGCCTTAAATATCTGAACTAGAGGTTTACAGCTACCTGTAGTAAAAATAATGTAGGTTCTAATTGAAAGGGTATGTTGGTGTGGGTTTATGTTTTAGTGGAAAAAATCATGTGGTTTCAATGTGATTTACGAAACTACAGACATATTCTGGTCTCCATTACTTCATAGACATATTGCTCAACCAATGTCAAATATATCTCCTTGCTCATCAGACTAGGCGCTCCGCACATAATATCTGGGTAAACACCCGCTCACCAACCCTTGCAGCCCCATAAATATTGGGCTTGTGTTCTCACACATGGTCTTGTGTGTCATACAGCATCAGCAGTCAACACGCACCTGAAATACTGTTACCAACTGCAAACATTTGACAGAAAGGGAGATAACTCTATTACCGTTAATGGATTTCCAAAATTCTGTATGTTCCCTTATTCATTATGTTTTCTGCATTTTGGTTTAAATCAAAATTTAACCAATAGCATGGATGAAGGCATCGGGTGTTTTCGCCAATATTTAATTTTATGTCAACTTCACAATTATTAGTATAAATAAAGCATTTATTTGACAATTGTCACAATTTTCATCTGGCCCTAAATCGAGTTAGTGTAGACTTTTTGCTTGGAACTCTCTGGACTTGTGTTCCTGGTGTTCAAAGCTTTCCAAAAATGTATAGTTTGTTTATTTGGGAGGACCATGTAGCGGAATTGTGTTTCTAAGCAAGCTAGAAATTTTGGCTGCAGGCCTAATTCAGCTGTTGGTCACTTTTTATCCATATCAAAACGGGACGATGTCAACAGTTTCCTTAAATTTATTGGCTGTGTAAAGCTGCTTATGAAGTTGGTGTTAGAAACAATCTTCTTCATTTTGGGGCATTTATCCAACATCTGTTTATTCATGTTGATGAGGTTCATCGGTCTATTGTGGTGTGGGTTAAATGTTGTGACTTGTATTACCTTTATTTCGACATATAATCCTCAACATAATAATTTTTTTCAACATATTTATGATACTAAGAATGTTCTCCTTTCTAATGATTATCTTAATAATCAATTTCATGGCATAAAATTAATTAATATTAAACGTCAGCCCCCTAGCCTAAAAAAATTACTCACTAGAGCTAAGTTTCAAGCTTCTAGTAATGGAACTTTTTCTACTTCTAAGTTCCCAGTTTGTAAATGTTGCCAACATATGATTATTAATACCAAATTCATTTTTTCTAATACTAATTATACGTTTAGAATTAATCATAATATGAATTGTAGTACTAAAAATTTAATTTATGTGTGGTTTGCAATAATTGTATGAAGAATTATATAGGGGAGTGCGGGACTGAATTATGCGCACGCATCTGAGTTCATAGGCAACAGAGTTTACAAACTAATCCTGTTTTGAAAGTCTCTAAACATTTAAATACTTGTGCTAAGAATTTAAATATTAAATTTAGTATCTTTCCTTTTTAAAAAGTCAATATTGACAATACTATCAAGAGAAGGAATATGGAAGCATACAATTATTGACCGGTTCAAACCAGATTTAAATGCTTAATTTTCCCCCTTCTCACTGTGTTAATATTCTAATAATTTTTAAATAAAATCTTAATATATGTTTTTACACTTTTTACTTCGCCACTATTTATTTCTCTATAATCGGTTTATTAGAGAATAAGGTAGATATAAAACAAGTTTATAGCCAAATTACATAATTGTTCTATTGACATTTAATTAATCTCTTCACTTCTGTATGGTTATATTGTCAAATTATACCAGGAAGACTATGTAAATTAATGAAAGTTTATGTTTTATTATAGCCAGATTAATTAATTTGTCTATGAATGTTTATTTCATTTCATTATTCCTATATTGGCCATTGTCAAATTATACCAGCAATATTCATCCGAATATCCAATTTACAATGGAAACTAGTACAGATAGAATACCATTATTGAATCTGATATATATTATAAAGATACTGATACTAAACAGTATCTCGAATTCAATTCGTGTCACCCCAAACACATAAAAACGGCTGTACCATATAATTTGGCCAGGCGTATCTGTACCATCATGTCTAACACAGTAACTAAATTTCGAAGACTACAGGAATTGCGAGAATTTCTGCTAGCCCGCAAATATCCCTCTACATTAATTAATGACAGAATATAAAGGGCTAGTAAAATACCGATAACGGAATTAAGGTAGGTAAAGATAAAAGATACAAATCACAATATAATTGCATTTGTCACCACCTTTAATCCTCACAATCCTAATTTTTCCAGCGTAATTAAAACACATTTTCAACTACTTCAACAAGATAAAAAATTTAAAAAACTTATTGATACACAAACATTTATCCCGTCAAAAAGACAACCTAAAAACCTTAAATCACTGTTAATTAGGGCTAAATTTGAATCATTCAGTCCAATTAAAGAAGTTGTAAAACGTGGAAGGGATAATTGTGGCACGTGTAGATATTTAATTGAAGGTAAATCATTTATATTTGACAGTGGTAAAGAATTTTTTGTCAATGAAAGTATGGACTGTAAAGTAACTCATGTATTATATGTCATAAAATGTAGTGGCTGTGCCGAACTGTACATCGGCTGCACAAACAAGTTACAAAACAGAGTAACGGTTCATAGACAACATATCAGGGAACCAAATTTAAGGAAGATCCCTTTAAGTGAGCACCTTGATATCTGCCGTAAGGGCAAGTTCAAAATATACCCTTTCTTTAAGATGCTGTATTCAGATCCCATGAAAATGAGATTGAAGGAACAATATTTTATTGACAAATTTAAACCCAAATTAAACATTTCAGAATAATTACAATATTATGCTATATATTATATATTATCTACTTCATTATTATTATATTATTGTATGTTTATTCTTCCACGACGTCACGTCATTGTATGTCTTGACAAGCTCAGGCGAAACATGTAGACAATTAAACAATAGTATATACTTTCTTTATGCATTTTTAACCATTCATCTACAGTGCACTCTGTCGCATCCGACATAGTACGGGATCGTTACAATATGTCGAATTACACAGAGTGTCGGAATACCCAGTTTTCTCAAAACCGGAAATATTGTAACTTCGAAAACCGGAAGTATTATTATAATGTAGCTTCGAACATAGAACTTCGAATAACCAGAATGTTATTCCCTTTAAAAATGATAAACCTTTCTGTACATTCAAAATTTTATTACATTAATTTTTATTTCATTTAACATGCGTAGGCATTTTGAATAGGTCAAGTCTGTCGTTAATTTATCTTCTTCGCTGTCTTCAGTTGATCGCACTCTTGTCTTTGTTATCACGTGTTCATTGATAATGGGCGTACTCGAAAGAACATTCTGGAATTGAACTCTCTCAATCCCAAAAATACTGACAATCAAGTAAAAATGGGTACGGTACGTGTTTAATTACGCCACAATTCTACTCACACCACCTCCGTCGTCGGGACTGACAGAACTGTGACAGGACTGAATTCCGCGTCACTTGATTGCAATTCTGTCAATTCGGGACGTTCCGGACTGTGAATCGAGCATCCCAGGTCGTCGTCACACGTTTCGAAGAGATCCGTGACAGGACTGAATTCCGCGTCACTTGATTGCAATTCTGTCAATTCGGGACGTTCCGGACTGTGAATCGAGCATTCCCAGGTCGTCGTCACACGTTTCGAAGAGATCCTTGACAGGACTGAATTCCGCGTCACTTGATTGCAATTCTGTCAATTCGGGACGTTCCGGACTGTGAATCGAGCAGCCCAGGTCGTCGTCACACGTTTCGAAGAGATCCGTAGGGTGACCAAACTTATAGGTTATTCAGGTTCAATCGGCATGCGCAACGAATGTTTCCAACAAGTGCTAGGAATATATTTACGACTTTGAATTCGGGGGGAAATTCGTAGATATTCTTGAGTATTTGTCACAACTGTCATACAAGAGATTAAAATTAACAAAGTAATCAACAAAGACCCACGGTAGCGAGTTTTAATCTCACAGATAATTGATTGGTGATTGCTTGTTAATCTTTTGTGACTTCACACCCATCCAGTTTTAATCTCACGGATAATTGATTGGTAAGTGTTTGCTTCACACCCACCGATTGAAGGCTGGATTATACGGTGTCGATTCAATGGAAATCGTATGACGGGGCGGCTGATTGATTTCGTAATCCGGAATGTACAGAGGTCGAATTACCCAGAGATTTTTTGGCTGAAGTAATAAGGAAATAAATCCGGACATGAAAATGGTGTCGGATGTAACAGAGTGCCGGAGTGTTCAGAGGTCGGATGTGACAGAGTGCACTCTGTGTTATATAATTATATAATTTTATATAATGTTATATATATGTTATATAGGGTATATGTGTGTAATTTCGACCACTTTAGATTTGACGTCATTTATTTCGCCAACAACGCTTACCGTTAACAAGTATTAACTTTCTTGTCATTACTCGATTATCCAGGCTTAATTAAGAATTGAAACATCAGACTAAATTCGCCTCTTTTACAAGAAAACGGCATTTAAATGGAGTAACCCCCCCTTGGTGCATATTCGACCACATTTGGGGGAAATTCGACCGCCACCAATTTGTAATTTACCGACATGGGGGGAAATTCGACCACATGACCAAATTAATAAAAATTCAAACACTACGCATAATAAATGGCAAGCTGTTTGTTTTGGTATAAATATTTTAAAAATAATACTTGCAGGTCCGTTCTAAGAATTTTCATCCTGTCCCTAATTAAACAATAATTGTTATATAAATAGAACCTTAGGCCACGTGTACTGGTTATTAAAATGTTAATATTATTGCGTACTAAATATTTGATCCAAAATAACAAGACTTGAAAACTATGGTATGGTCGGAAAATCAACCTTGTATAAAACTAGTTGACGTTGCTGTAAAATTTAATTTCGGTTTTTGTTAACTCTATATAATAACATATTCATTCATTTATTGTATTGACGCTGATAATTATGCCATGCGGAGAAATATGTGCACGCTTTTATAATCGTGTCAAATCCCACAAAAATGAAATGAAATGGGGTTTAACGTCCTACTGTTCTGCTCCGAACTGGACTAATGAAGACGGGCATACGCAATACAGTGTGCTATGAGGGAAGTTTTGCCCGGACAGCGGCACTATGGCCTACTCTAATAGAATTCCAACTGTCAAGGGATCTTTTACGTGCACGCCAATGTGTACACGGGAGCTCGTTTTTTTACCCCATCCGAACGACTAGACAACTGTCCTTTTCAGGACTCTCGTTCTGCATCACTGACAAGGGGGAACCACGCCGGAAAATTTCGATGAACTTTATCGGCCAATGCAGGGATCGAGCCAATCCAACAATGACTCAAGTTATAACCAGAAGTATCAAAGTCAACATCAGTTAATTCGTTTAGGGACAAATTTAATCCATTTCATATAATCAACATCTGGGAATTATGTTCATTTAATCAAAAGGCTATATCTGGGAATGAATAAATTACGAATATATAATTTAACAATTAAAAAAACACATTTCATTAGATTAATATCTTGGAATCAATAAGTTAAAATTCATTTTGAAATTCATAAACACAGTTCATTTCATTGACAAGATACTAATTTATAATTATGGAGAACATTCATGACAATAAAATGGTACATAAATGGGGATAAAATGGTTATAACCAGAAGTATCAAAGTCAACATCAGTTAATTCGTTTAGGGACAAATTTAATCCATTTCATATAATCAACATCTGGGAATTACGTTCATTTAATCAAAAGGCTATATCTGGGAATGAATAAATTACGAATATATATACAATAAATTTCATTTGATTAATATCTTGGAATCAATAAGTTAAAATTCATTTTGAAATTCATAAACACAGTTCATTTCATTGACAAGATACTAATTTATAATTATGGAGAACATTCATGACAATAAAATGGTACATAAATGGGGATAAAATGGTTATAACCAGAAGTATCAAAGTCAACATCAGTTAATTCGTTTAGGGACAAATTTAATCCATTTCAGTTCATGTCATTGACAAGATACTAATTTATAATTATGGAGAACATTCATGGCAATAAAATGGTACATCAAGATCGAAATCATTTTCGTGTGTTGTTGGGACACAATCTTGGTGCATCCAGCGAAAACATTTATCGCAGCCAATCCAGTCGGGTTCGTCATCTGGACTGTCGTCGTCATACTCAATAAGACAAATAAAACATTCATTTTCATTAAATGACTTGGACATGGGTTTGCATTTAGATTTTAGTTGTTTTTCTCGGTTTCTTTTCTCTTTTTCCTGTTCTTTTAGAATTTTTTTTTCTTTCCTTTCATCCTTTTCTTTTTCTTTTCTCAACTTTTCTTTTAATGCGTCTGTTTTATTTTGTAACACTTGGTCGGACGTAAGAAGCCTATGACAGGTAATTTGTTTCGATTTATTCTTTTTGGGTACAGATTGTCCACAAGATGGTATGTTGAATATGTTGGACAGCGTTTCTGCCCACTTTGTTGGTATCTCGGTTTCGTCCTCAGATATGATATGATTTAACAGAGATTGTGCGTTTAATTCCTTTGGTTGTTCGTTTGTTGTTATTGGAACTGTTTCGTCATTTTGTATAAAATCATTCATCATGGTTGACATGGCACTGTCGAAAGACAGGTTTACAATGGGGGGGATCAGCTGTGTTTATATTTTCCAAATTATCTATTGTCAATTCTGTTGCATTGGTTGGTGTGTATGGCTTGTTATATACTTCGGATGGCATATACAGCTTGTCGGACAAAATGCTGGGATTGAAGGGTGAAATGCCCGTGGACCGAAATGAGCTCAATATGTTTGTTGGTGTCATGGTCTTGTTCCAGGCAGCATTAATGATTCTCGGCCAAGTTGTTTTGTCAATTATGTGATTTGGATGGTCAGCCATGAATTCCGTACATAATCTGTTGTAACTGTTTTGCAGAGGTCCGAATATACCCTTGTCCAATGGCTGAAGGTGGTGAGTGGTATGTGGGGGTAGGGCCAATATGTATATATCATTTGCCCTGGCCTTGACGAGTAACTCTGTTACTTCGTGGGAGCCATGCGAATCTAAAATTAATAATTGAGGCCGATCTGGACCGCAGTGTTTAAGAAACACATTATTGAACCACTCCTGGCCTAGGAAATCATTCATCCAGGCCCTCTCCTGGTAAGTCCAAATGGTGCCATTAGGTGCGTCTAGGGTAGCAAACCCGTTCAAACATCTGTTTGTTTTGCCTTTCACTATAAACATTGGTGGCATGCATGCACCTGCTGCGTTTATGCAGCCTAAAACAGTTATGTTTTCTCTGTTGTTTGTGGTTCTTCCAGGTAAATTTTTTGTCCCCTTCCTGGCAATTACCTTGACCGGGTCATGCTCGTACGACATGCCCGTCTCGTCACAATTCCATATTCTGCCTGGATGTTCCTTCAGGTCGATGTCAGAAATTATTTTACCAAGGTCTTGGAAATATTTATGGACAACTACTTTATTTAGCATCCGAGACCTAGATGTGGGTAACTTCTCTGGCTTCCGTAAGGTTACCTCTGGGAAGCGGCTTTTAAACCCCCTCCACCAGTCATTACCCGGAATACCTTTGTTAAATGGTGTTTGTGTATTTGTTAATTTAACATAACGTGCAACTTTCAGCAGGAGTTGTCTTTTTGTCACCCCGAAACCCTTCTCAGAAGCATCTAAAACTTTTTTGACTATTTCCTCTTCAATTTTCCGGGGGAGGGCAGTGGGTTTACCCGGCACAGCATTCGGGCAAATCCTTCCTGACAAATGGTCAATTATTGTGGTTTTGGGTATATTAAATTTTTTGCTAGCCTTTCGGTATGATAGGCCATTCCTGACAGATTTTACGGCGTCTTCTAAAGTTTTTGAGTCATATCTCATATAAATATTTTTAGATTTGCGGGGCATCCTGGAATGTAAAATAAATGTTTATTTATTACTTTATTAGGTAATATTATTAACCTTTGCCTATTACATATAAATTTTATTAATAGCTAACACATAGATTATTAATAAATGTCCATAATTTTCTAATTCATTTAAGGATTATTTTCCTCAAAAGTGGACTAATAAGAAATGAATATTTTACATTTTAGCCTACATGTATAACGATTATTTCCCCAGACACTGTATAATCAATAAAAAGACCCTAATATTTACCTGCTGATATATATTAATTATGATTGGTCGTTGTACTTTATAGTGGGCGTTGAAAAAACTTGACAAACACTGTATATTCAAATATAGGCTATTCAATCAAAATACACTAGGCCCTATAATTATAAATTTATTATTATTGTTATTATTAATTATCTATTATCGGTAAAAAAAAGTAACATTTAATGAATAAAATACGTGATCAGAAGGCCGGTCGAATTTCCCCCACCCCCAAAAGTAAGTTGGTCATAATTCGACCACTTGACCATTTTTGTCATAAAACTGAATTAAATGTTTGTTTTTGATTAAAAATTATTCAGGTTACATCCCACTTAATAATCTAAACCTTACAAATCAATAAAAAGAGCCTAATATTTACCTGCTGATGTATGATTGGTCGTTGTACTTGATGGTGGGCGTTGAAAAAACTTGACAGACACTGTTGACAGTACGCGATGCTCCTTCACGATAGGCCAGACATCAAACTTCGCGGTAAACAAAGACAACGATTTCTGATTGGATGCATATATCATGTGACAAATAACGTGACCGGAACAATAACAAAGCGCATTATCCAGGCGGAAAAGCAAATGTCGGTCGACATATCGCTACAGACACGCTTTTTGTAAGCGGTCGAAATTAGACCATAGGTCGAAATTACACACATATACCCTAATTTTAAACAAGAAAGTGTGTGAATAATAATCCATTGTGAGCTTACAAAATATTTCTTTATATCTTAAAACTATGTTTTCATAAATATTCTTGCTTGCCGTGTATATATTTTACAACTATTAAAAAAGTTCTTTCTTACCTTGAATCCCTCTGGTTTTTCTTTTCTGAACCTTTCGACCCTCTCCCTTGTTGACCCAGTTTTCTCTTTTTGTCTTTTCCCTCTTTTTGGTCTCAGTGGGGTGGATGGAGGTGTGGTTTCGGAAGACATTACATGTAATTGCAGTTTCCGTTTAGATCTAATTGTCCTTAATGTAGATGATGCTGTTCATGTTGAAGGTTGGGTATCATAAGTTGCTTCTGGGGTGGTTTCGAAGACATTACATGTAATTGCAGCTTCCGTTTAGATCTAATTGTTCTTAATGTAGATGATGCTGTTTATGTTGAAGGTTAGGCAGCATAAGTTGCTTCTGGCATAGTTATTTAAGTAGAGGCAGTGGGGGGGGGGGGAGTAAGAATCTGGTAATGTATCGGATGATTCCACCTGGCATGCCCGACACAAGGATGGTAGATCACTCCGAGTTTTGACTGACCTCAAATAGACCACTTTCGAAATACCTGTAAAACCAAAATGCAAAGTGAATAAAAAAGGGTTTTTCATAACTCATAGAAAATTCTAGCCAATAAGCCTAATTAATATCCTAAATGCTCACAAGAAAATTGTCTGACCTGTTCTACATGTCCTATGTGTCCATTTACCACAGGAATCACAAGTAACTGCTTCTTCATTGTCACCAATGAATTTATTACAAAGAACCCAGTTGTCACTGTTAGCCATAATAATTATCAAGTTCTGTATTGCAGAAATAAATCTGATGAATGATTTATTTCCTGCGTTCGTCTCTAGAGTTCTACGTCCACTTCCACCTAAGGTGATATCGCAGACAAAATGTTTCCTAAAAAAATTACTAGAGGAAGCCATAGGGATTAGGCTTGGTCCAGTTTAATTTGAGACATAGTGTCTTTGCAGGAAATGCCCAAGTTAAAAATCTCATCGAAAGAAGAGGAGAAAGTTTTGGGGTAGAAAAGGAAGGATGGCGAGGGTGCGCAGTCTGGCCCGCTTAGCCATTAATGCTACGACCTTAATTTGGGGAGGTAGGTTGGTCTGACGGTCAGCCGGGCCATTGGGCCTGCCGCCTTTCCGACCTAGACATAGGCGTACGGGCTCAATGACTGTTAGGGGGGCAGAACCCGCAATGCCCGAAAAAAAAATCGTTTTAAGGATCCGACCCCTCCTCCCTCTTCCAAAGAAATTTTGAAAAAATTGACTACCGCAAACAACATCTAGACGTTGCAAAACTCATGATCGTTGCTTTAGGAACATGAATTTAGGCGGCCGACTCGAATTCCAAACAACCAAACAATCTTTCAATCGTCGCGGAGTATGAAGCCTCACTCTCCTGGAGAAAATTTTGAAAATGTAATCACCGCAAATGCCTTTTTTCTGCTATTCTAGCCCGTGAGTTACACAACTCCAAAGTTGTCCAATGGTTTTGTAACCGAAATCCCACTCAAGACCAATCTGAATTCCAACCATGCAATCAGACTGCATTTACAAATAATAATAGATGCCCGAAAATGTTTCATACAATGTTTTAATCAATTTGTTCCCGATTTTGAAACCTTGAGAGCATAAGTAAATAATCGTAATGAATATAAACTTACCAGTAAAATGGAATCATTGTTTGGCATGAATCGTAGCAGTTCAAGTCCTATATCCTTCTAAAACTGTCAGCTATAAACATTACAGCGAGAAGCATATTTGACGCTTTATGCATGCGCTACAATGGGATTCCCCCTTTTCTGCTTTGTAGAATGTTTACCAGTCTCTCGGATAGTGAAATTGGTAGAATACCATCCGCCCAACTGAATTTTTCTATTTTTTTTCAAATACCGCTGATAAGATCATGTATATACCTCTAATGAATTGGAATATTGTATTATAGTACAATTTGTTGACCAGAATGAAGACTTGGACATATTATTCAGTTACAGCAAGAGTGTTATTGTCCCTTTAAGATCCCTTCTCTAGAGGGTCCACAACCATGCTATTACATACTTTTACACTATTTGCATTCAAGGAGAGGCCATTTTGTCATGCAGTTTCGGTCCAATTTTCCAAAATTAGAACTTAACCATGATCAAGGTGTAACAATAATATATTTGTAAAATCAGAAAAACATTGGGAACTCTAGTGGGTCCACAAGCTACAATCACAATTTCATACAATCAGGGGCCATAATCCATATTTCGAAACAAAGATCTTTGGGTTATAAACATACATTTTAAGTTTCGTCATTAAAATCGGATAAAAACTGTAACAACTAGAGGGTCCACAAGACCACAACCTTGCTATTACATACCTTTACACTATTTGTATTCAAGGAGTGGGCAGTTTCCGTCCAATTTTCACGAAATTAAACTCAACCATCATCAAGGTATAACAATAATATATTTAAACAATTTGTAAAATTGAATATAAATTGGGGCCTCTAGTGGGCCCACAAGCTAAAATCACAATTTTGTTGTGTAATCAGGGGCCATAATCCATATGTGTAAATTTCGAAAGAAACCGAGATCTTTGGGTTCTAAACATAGATATCAAGTTTCTTCATGATCGGATACAAATTTTGACATCCAGAGTGTCCACAAGCTAAAAACGTGATTTTTCCGTCCAATTTTCACGAAATTAAACTCAACCATCATCAAGGTATAACAATAATATATTTAAACAATTTGTAAAATTGAATATAAATTGGGGCCTCTAGTGGGCCCACAAGCTAAAATCACAATTTTGTTGTGTAATCAGGGGCCATAATCCATATGTGTAAATTTCGAAAGAAACCGAGATCTTTGGGTTCTAAACATAGATATCAAGTTTCTTCATGATCGGATACAAATTTTGACATCCAGAGTGTCCACAAGCTAAAAACGTGATTTTTCGTACAATCGGGCCACAATCCATGAAGTTACGCCAAAGACATGTCAAATTAAAAGAAACCAAGATCTTTGGGATAGAAACCTATATTTCAAGTTTCGTAAAATCAGATCAAAATTATGACCTGTAGAGTATCCAAAAACAATGTAGATGTATAAAAACAATACCTATTAATGTCCTAGAATAGCTTACCTATCATTTCTATAGGATTAGGAAATAATACTCCTGCAGTTCTATTAAATGTTCTAGCTAGATGTCTAGCTAATTCTATATGTTGTAATTGGTCTTTACCTACTGGTACTAATGTAGATCTGAAATAACATGGAACAATCAGTCAAATACATCATTCAATTTAAAAATAATCAAGATTATAGGTGTTCTTTTGGACCATTTATTGTTGTATTTGAAAACAGAATAATGCGAAAAACTCAGGTAGGCTATACAGTTCCACTTAAATAAAGGAGGACTACATGTACAGAATATCTATAAATAACTTACTTATATAATAGTATATCTGCTGCCTGTAATATAGGATAGGTAAATAATCCAACACCTACATCTTTCAATATATCTGATTTTTGCTAAAATATCATAGAGATAGGTTACCAGTCAACTAAACATATTCCCACAGCAGGTAAATATGGAGCGGAATTTCCCCCATAATTCTAACTCCTAACCTAGTAATGCGTATGCTAATATGCTTACTTCTATACATGTATGTTCTTACTAACACATGTTAAATTGGCTATTTACACATGTAAAAATGCTAATTTATATAACTTATTTTTTAAATATTGCAGTTAGAATTTGTATTTTGTTCTATTTCCATTATTACATTTAATTTATTGTAGTCTGTATAGTTTCGTTAACATTTCACAAATGTTACGCTGTAAAGCCGTTATAATTCTAAGCTCATTTTGGTAACAGATGGCGCTATTTATTGTATGGAGGCTGATTAGGGACATGCAAAATCTCACCTTTTTCATAACCAGATAGATAAAAATCATAAAATATTTTATGTACAAAAACAAAATATTGTAGATATTTTTAAAATATATAAATAGGCTTCCCTGTCATGCATTTTTTAATAGATTGCAATATCAATTGATTTGGCATATTTTGTTTCTAAAAGAACAATAAAATATATAGAAAGAACTTATGTCATGCACAGGAGTGAATAAATAAATATATAGGTAATGATAAGTTTAGCGTATCTTTTCCCCTCAAATTAATGAAATATTTTTCGCACACAAGTAAAGTATTTTTGATATTATTTTAGCTGCTATCGGATCAAGCATCCAAATCATCGTGAGCCGCGTTGGCTCGGTGAGTATGTCCCGGACTAGGTCTCGGGTTCGCTCCCGGTGTTGGAAGAGAAAGTCCCTTGGCTTTTCCGGCGTTATTTCCCCTTTTCAGTGGTGCATGACGACGTTCCTGACAAGGAACACTGTCTAGTCGTTCTTATATAGTGCACGTAAAAGAACCCTGGATGTTGGGATTCGAAATAAGAGTAGGCCGTAGCGCCGCTGTCGGCAAAATCGCCTCATACTGCACATTTCATGGCGTATTCCCGTCTTGATTAGCACAGTTGATGCTGAACGAGGAGACGTTAAACTCGATTTCATTTAATTTAAAGATAAATTATGGGAGAATAGATAGGCCCAAAGAGCAGACTAATGTAAAGAGAATTTGTTGAAAACTTCAGTTCCACTCTGAACCGAGAATTTAGCGATTGAATTTGGGCCTAGCTTCGATCATCATTACTAAAGTCGGTACGAAAAAAAATAAAAACATAATCTCGATTATCCATTTTTTGATTTAATCATAATTGAGCGTTGAGCAGTAGATCAGATCCTAATCCAGTAAACATTGCAGGCTAGCGATGACATCGACAGTTGATTATGGTCTGGATAAGTTAATTAATGTCTAATAAATAATTTAGATAACATTTTAGACCTAAAGAAATACCTGCAATGGGCAGATTCAGCTCTTGCATAATGTATGTTAAATTTCCAAATCATCGGATTAGCCGCTTGCATTGATCTTATTAATCTCATTCCAAAGTTTGGTGTCATAACTAATTGGATAAAGGCCAAACGAATTTGGGTTGGTGAGTGTGTGTGTGTGTGGGGGGC